CCCCCCACACCCCCCCCACCCTCATCCCCCAAACCCACCCCAGCCTCGGTCCCCAAACCCATCCCAGCCTCAACCCCCCAAACCCATCCCAGCCTTGGCCCCAAACCCATCCCAGCCTCAACCCCCCAAACCCATCCCAGCCTCAACCCCCCAAACCCATCCCAGCCTTGGCCCCAAACCCATCCCAGCCTCGGTCCCCAAACCCATCCCAGCCTCAGCCCCCAAACCCATCCCAGCCTCGGCCCCCAAACCCATCCCATCTGTCCCAGTCTCGCTGGCACAGGCTGCCCTCAGCACCCTGATTCAGGCAGATCTGCACCCCCAGAAATTCCCAGTGAATTCCCAGTGAACCCTCCCTCTCTCTCCCTCCCTCTCTCTCTCCTGCAGTTCCCGGGATTCGATGACCTCTACTGCAAGTTCTCCTTTGTCTACGGCCCGGACTGGGTCCCCACGGCGGTACGGCCCGTGTCCCCACCCCGTGTGCCCCTGTCCCCACCCCCGGGCTCAGCCCAGCCCCAGGCTCACCGCCGGCTCCCCGCAGGGCCTGGAGGAGGGAATCTCGCAGATCACCTCCAAGAGCAGCGTCTCGCCCACCACGCTGGTCTGGAACTTCCCCATCGACATCACCTTCAAGAGCACCAACCCCTTCGGCTGTGAGTGCTGGGGGGGGTCTGGCCCTGGTGCCAAAGCCCCCCTCACCCCCATTTCCTTGCAGGGCCGCAGATTGTGCTCAGTGTCTACGGGCCTGACTTCTTTGGGCACGATGTGGTCAGAGGTTATGGAGCTGTGCACGTGCCCTTCGTGCCTGGCAGGTGAGTGCCAGCCCGAGCTGCAGGGCTCACACACATCCTGGGCCACTTATTCTGCTGTTTCTGAATCCAAAAAAAAAGCTCCTCACCATGCCCTGTCAGTTCACAGAGATTTTCTAGCAGAATTCTTTCATCATTAAATAAGTTTTGGTAGTCCTGTGAAGCCCAAACTGGCCTGGAAGAAGCCCAGATGTGAAGCTCAGTTCCTCACCCAGTAAATTCTCATTCCCACCACTGGGAATGGAGGAAGATCTGTTGTTCCTGTGCAAACAAACCCTTTGTGTGTGAAAGCAAAATTCCTGATGTGTCAGGAATTCTGTGCCTCCATAAATATAAAAATCCTGCTTTTTATTCCTTCATTCCTGAGGGTTCTGGGCTCTCCTTTTGTTTCAGGCACAAAAGAACCATTGCCATGTTTGTCCCAGAGTCCAGCTCGAGGCTGCAGCAGCTCACAAGGTAACAATTAATGACTTCAATTCATTAAGGAATGAATTTCTCTCCTGTCCTCAGCCACAAATTCATTTGCAGCCCTCAGTGGTGTCACTGCTCTGTGCCATAACCAGCTTGGTGCTCTGTAGGGGAAAATCACATTTTCAGGTGTCTGGGTCTTCTGAAAAGCTTTCATAAACATATTAACCACAATATTAATTATATTATTACAATAAATAAGCATATTAATATATTGCATTAATATATAAAATAACAAACCAAATTACCTGCTAACTGCACTAAATTACTGCCTGAATCTTCTTGGGGCTGTTTTGGAAGGACAGCCCATGAAAAACAATTCCCATTCTACATTTTTTAAAAGAAATTCAAGGTCTCCAAGCCTCTATGGTTCTCTGGGTGATCAAGAAGAATTTTTCAACAATATCTTTGCCACAGAAAGATTCTTCTAGGCCAGAAAAAAACCTGGATTTAACAAAATCTGTATGAAACCATTTGCATTTTTTTTCCTTAAGGCAAAACTCACCTTTGATTGCAGTAGATCAATAAAGAGAATGAGGCTTCCAAACCCTCCTGGCAGTCTCATGGCCTGGATCAATCTCAGCCCCCCAATTCATTATTTTGTATTTTATATTCATGATTTTATATTTTATAGTCAGTAATTTTGTATTTTGCATTCATTATTTTGTATTTTATATTCATAATTTTGTATTTTGAATTTATTATTTTCTATTCTGAATTCACAATTTTGTATTTTATATTCATAATTTTGTATTTTGAATGCTATAATTTGTATTTTGAATTGATAATTTTGTATTTTGTATTCAGTAGTTTGTATTTTGAATTAATAGATTTTTATGTTGTATTTAATAGTCTGGTTTTGTATTCATAATTTTGTATTTTGCATTCATTATTTCGGTGTCTGTATTCTAATTTTGTATTCCTCAGTTTGTATTTTGAATTCATAATTTTGTATTTTGTATCCATTATTTTGTATTCACTAATCTGTATTTTGAATTCAATAATTTTGTGTTTTATATTCAGTGATTTGTATTTTGAATGCAATAATTTGTATTTTGTATCCATTATTTTGTATTCATTATTTTGTCTCCATTATTTTGCATTCATTAATTTGTATTTTGAATTCAATAATTTGTATTTTGTCTCCATTGTTTTGTATTTTGTATCCATTATTTTGTATTTTGTCTCCATTAATTTGCATTCGTTAATTTGTATTTTGTATCCATTAATTTGTATTTTGTATTTTGTATCCATTATTTTGTATTCATTATTTTGTCTCCATTATTTTGCATTCATTAATTTGTATTTTGTATCCATTATTTTATATTTTGTATCAATTATTTTATATTTTGCCTCCCAGCTGGTTCACCGGGAGGCGCCCGGAGTTCACGGACCCCAAGGTGGTGGCGCAGGGAGAGGGACGGGAAGGTGAGTGCTGTCAGCTCCTGCCTGCTGACAGCCATCTCCTCTTTACCCCTTTAATTAACCCTTAATTAACGCCCTGTGCTGATGGATCCCTCCCGTGCAGTGACCAGGGTGCGCTCCCAGGGCTTTGTCACCGTTTCCTTCAACATCATCACCAAGGACCTGCACAGGCTGGGCTACGACGTGGGCCAGGGCTCCCAGGGGCTGCACGGCTGCTGAGGGCCACAGGAGCTGCTGCAGCTCCAAAAAACTCCAGCCCGGGAGGATCCGGGGCAGTGACCAAGCCTCGTCCTCTCAAAAGGCTGAAGTGCTGTGGAAATCGATGTTATTGGCAACATTCGGTGTTTTATTGATGATTATTGTATTTTATTCAGTGTTTTTAGGGGTCACGCTGTCTCAGAGTAGGGCCTGTAATGAAATATTTTTATAGCAGCCTTTTGTATGCTTTTTTATAGAATTAATGACACAGAAAGTTTCCAGATGTAGCAGTTTAAAACTTTGCAAACCCAGTTTCTCTTTAGTGATTCTTTTTCTGTTGCAAATGAGGAATTGAAATTATTGCACCTTCCAAAATTGGTCCTGTGAATTGCATCCCCCTCTAAGCTCTTTTAGGCTGAATAAACTCTGTTGTATCAATAGATTCATTTGTCTTTCTGCTGCTAAAGAGGTTTCTTTGTTTGTGCCAGGATGTTTTTAAGCCCTAAATCATCCAAGCTCTGCTGGATTTAAAGGTAGAAGAGAAAAAGAAGTATTTCAATGCAGTGACTAATTGCTGAGTCATTTTCCTATTTAATTTTGGGCATGTAACCTCTTGTGTTTGACTGCAAATCCCAGGAGAACACCATCACCCTAAAAGGGAACTACCAAGACCTCCAAGTGTAGGAATCCCAGGAAAAACACCCAGGGATGAACCACAAATCCTCCAGGACACAGCTCAACAAAACACCCAGGCAGAGATTGTTCTGATTCACAGTGGGATGCAATAAATTGAATTTCTGAAAATATAAAGTGGTCACTGGAACGTTGCTGGGAGCAGCAGCACCTTTTATATGACACAGAAATATTTTTCCAAACGTTTTTAGGGATAATTTTTCATCTCCTGCCTTGTTTTTGTTGACTCCACACTTCCAGTGGAGTTGTTTTGGTCATTTGTAATCTCTGAACTGTGTCACGTTGGAATCCAAATTCAGAAGCATTTCCTGTTGGCTCAGAGGAGACTCAAGGAATTTTGTTTCCTTTTCAGAAGTTTGGGAAGCAGGATAAATATCAGCGTTTGAAAGGCTTGGGAGGCAAACACTGAACCTCCTGCTGCTCACCAAGACCCAATTTCCCCTGGAGCACAGTTCCTGCCCACATTCCAACTGCAGCAGAGCTGCACAGGAACCTGGCACAGCCCAAACCTGGGGTTTATTCACAGCCAGCTCCTCGTCCTGCTGCTCCAAAGCCCCGAATTCCTCCTGTTCCAAAGGAACTCCGGGGTGTTTCACCCCAGTGGCACCAACCAGACCTGAGCCAGCTTCCCCCTGACAGCTGAGGGGAAGGGAGGTTAAAAACAGTGAACAGCAAAAATCCCGAACTCTGCAAAACAGGATTAAAGAACCTTGAGGTACTTAAGCTGCTCTCTAAGCAGATCCCACACTGCTACCTGCATTATTAGGGTTTTTGCCTATTTTCTCTGGGTTTGGTTGGATTTTGGGGTGGTTTTGGGCTCCTCAATGGCTTCAGCACATCTAAGAGCTTCACTTTCCCTCCTCAAGGGCTGGGCAAGTTTCCTTAGCTTTCCTGTGAGTGTTTCCCTCAGGGCATCACCCAGGGGCTGATGTTTGGAGTTTCCCAAGCCCAATGCTGCTGATATCCCTCAGAAACTTCTCCCAGAAATGGCCTTGCTGCTGCTTTCATCATTTCCTGGTTGAAATCTTGACTCCTCAGGTGTGACAGTGTTTGCACCTGGGGACAACCTTTGAATAAAGGTGGACACGACACCGTGAGCAGGGAACAGTGATGAGGAAGGGATTTAGGATCCCTAATGGTTCATGGCAGTTAAATCCTAGAAGCAGCAGTGCTTTAAGAAGAGCCAAATCCCAGTAAAACCCAGCAGCAGGGCTCATGGTGATTTCCTCTCTGGAACACCCTGCTCCTTTCCTGGTTAATCATTCTCCCTTCTCTTCAAACCTGCACTGACCCCACAAGAGCAGCACGAGGCTCTCAGCTGGAGCTCTGCTTCCTTCCCCTGAAATCTCTCCCAGACGCTAAAATTGCTCATAATCCTCCAAATTCCAGATGGGCAGGGAAAAATCTTCCTGGAGAACGAGTCCTGACACAGGAGGGGCTCCAAGGCCATCACAAACCTGGGAGCCTGCGAGATGTCTGGGGTCTCTGCAGCTCTCCTGGCCTGGAGAGGCTTTGGATTCACTCCATGGGAGCTTTCCTGCTGTTCCCCAGGGAGGGAAACAGCCAAGGACGGGGACTGAGCAGCAGCTTGGGGATCAAACCCTCCAGAAAAAGGAGAATCACTCGGGCAATCCTTAGGAATTGGTATTTACCGCCTTTCCTACCCAACAGCAGCAGCAGCTCCTGCCCTCTCGTGGCTGCTCCCAGCCTTCAGGAAAGCGCTGGAAGTGATTAATGACAATTAACACCGAGGCTGAATGAAGAATTCCGAGTTTTTCCCGTTCCTCCATGGAAGTCGCTCCCTGCTGGCTGCCCTGGCACTGCCCCTTGTCCCCAGAGCAAGGGCAAACACCTCCCGGGGCTGCTCCTCGGGGAGCGGGGCTGAGCCAGGGAGCTGAGCATCCACACGAGGCTGCCAGGCTGCTGTACACCGGCAGCTCCGTGGCTGCTGGGAATGATCTCCATCTGAAAATGAGATGGATTCAAGCTGACAGCAGCTTCTCCCCAGCAGCAGTGTCAGGTTGGGAGCAGGAGATCTGTGAAATGCTCCAAAAGGAAAAAAAGAATAGGAAAAAAAATCAAACATTTAAGCACAGGGCAGCCACGTTTGAAGAAAATCGGGGGTTTAGCTCCAATTCTTGTCAGGTTTGTAGTGTTTTCTCCCATTTGTGCCATTGGAGATTTGGGGGGATAAAGGCCCTGGATCTGGGGGGTCACAGGACAGGACAGCTGGGGTGGGAGCAGTGGCACAGCCAGGCTGGCACCCACAGCGTGGAGCATTCCCCATTCCTGGGGACAGCCAGACCCAGGGGACAGCAGGGACCCCCACCCCTGGGCTGGCAGCAGCTGGGTGGGCTGGTGGCCCTGGAGAACCCACCCAGGACATCTCCAGGGTGTCCCTCAGACCTGAGCCCCCTGTGAGGGCACTGAGGACACCCCAGCAGCCAGCCCAAGGTCCAGGCACATCTGGAGCAGCCATCATCTCCAGTTTGGGATGTTTCCAGGCCACACAACCCCAGCAGGAGCCCAGCAGAGCTGGACAAAGGCCACCCCGATCCCACCCTGTCCCCTCTCAACATCCACCTTCGGGGTGCAGAGGGGATCCCTGAGGGATTTTTCCATCAGCTGAGGATTCCTCTGGGAGGCAAACGTGGAGGAGCTCAAACCCCAGTTCTGAGACACTCGTGGATATTTGCAAACCCAGGAGCCACCTCCACTTTTGGAGGCAAAAACTCCCAAACCTGCAGCTCCCACCCGGCTGCAGAGCTGCCAGCGGCCTCCAGTGCAGCCCCACTGGGGCTGGGGAGCACAGGACAGCACAAATCCCTCAGAACCCATCCTTGGGGCATGGAAAGCAGGGCTGGGCCCCCGGGAGAGAGGGAGGGAACAACACAAGCTGCATTCCCAGCAGGATCTGAGGGATCCAGCCTCGTCCTTCAGAGGGAAGAGCAGCAGACGCATGGAACTGCTGAAGGTGTCTATTTTTGGCTGCCTATTCAGGCCAGGATATTTAAGTACCCAAATTCACCTCAGAGAATATCATCACTCCATTTAGTGCCAGACTTGCTGATGAAGATATTAAAAAAGCAGAAAAAATCCTCCTCCACCATCACCCAGCACAACCCCAGGCAGCCCACGGACTCCAGGGCTGCTACAGCACAGCAGAGCTGGCTCCCTGCAGTTTGGAAAATCCATGGATTTCATTCCATGGCCACAAAAAGCCATTTAAGAAGAACACAGACCTGATTTTCACAGGTTCTAGGGGAAGAAGGACACAAAGGTGTCTGATGATTTTCCATGGCAGGCATTACAAGAGGTGGTTCAGCCACGGCGCTGTGGAGAATTCCAGGAGGATTGGGGATGGATGGGTGGGTGGGATTGGGAGGGTTGGGGATGGATGGGTGGGATTGGGAGGGTTGGGGATGGATGGGTGGGATCAGGGTGGATGTGGGATTGGAGGGTTCAGGGTGGAAGGGTGGAATTGGGAGGGTTCGGGGTGGAAGGGTGGGATCAGCCCACGCTGGGTCAGTGCCCTGTGGAGGATCCTCACCTCCATCCTCTCCTGCAGCCCAGCCAGCCCAGCCGCGGATGCTGATCCCACAGGAGGGGTGGATTCACCCGGGGGTTATCACAGCTCATCTCCACAGGGAAATCCCATGTCTCTGCTCCAGAACATCCCCCTGGCTCTGCTCCAGAACATCCCCCAGCCTCCAGCAGCTCCAGTGGTCAAACAGGGCAGGAGCCAGGATGCCATTCCTGCCTGGGAGGGTCTCGAAGGGATCGAGCTGCAGAGCTGGCAGCAGCCGTGTCCCAGTGAGGTTTCCTGTTGGGAAGCAGCAGGCAGGGAGCTGGGGAGACAAACTCCACCTTTGCTCCGGCGTTATCCGGCTGGTTTGAGGTGTCATTGATTTTCCTTCACCTGAAATGGGAACGTGTTTGCTCCACAAGTGCCAAGAGCAGCTCAGGCAGAGCGATGTGAGCTGGGCTGAGAGGACACAGGGAATCCTGGAAGGCTTTGGACAAAGGCCTGGAGGGACAGGACACAGGGAATGGCTTCCCACTGCCAGAGGGCAGGGTTAGATGGGATATTGGGAATAAAATCCTCTCTGAGAGGGTGATGCCCTGGCACAGGGTGCCCAGAGCAGCTGTTGCTGCCCCTGGATCCCTGGCAGTGCCCAAGGCCAGGTTGGATGGAGCTTGGAGCAATCTAGGACAGTGGAAGGTGCCCATGGCAGGGGGTGGGATTTTCTTTAATCTCTCAGGAGGATATTTCCCAAAACTGTGAGGGTCCCACAACTCAGTCCAGGTCTGGGACAGCTCCTGGCTCCCCCTGCACAGCCCCAGGATGTGCTGAGTCCCCCAGGGTATCCCCACATTCCTCATTTACCTCCTCCCAATTCCCTATGGATCACCAGACCCTGCCAACGAACCTCCCTGGCACCAAGGGGAACTTCCCACTCCTCAGCTTCAACAATTACAGGGTACAATCCATCAACAGCAAAACAGAACTGCCACCACCACATCCCACACTGGCTCCTCACCATTCCTAATCCCGAGCTCCCAAACAAACAGCAGTCCTTAGGAAACCCAACTCATTAACGGAGAAAAGGTGACCATTCAAGTTAACTTGAAAAAATATGGGAGTTTTGAACGTGAGGGGTTCACAAATCCTGCTGGTTCCCTGGAATGCAGCTTGCAGGGTGTGGCAGAGTGCCAGAGGCAGAGCTCGAGATGGGCCCAGCCCTTTCCCCACAGTTCCATGAAAAGCAGCAGAAGGGGCAGAGCTGCGCCCTCAGCACAAAGAGGCAACTCAAACCTCAGCAAAATCTTCAGCAACAGCAGCGTGGGCGAGGGGAAGCCAAAAGATAAATCCTTATCCAGAGTCTCTTCCTCTGCAGAGCGGGCAAATCCTCCTCACTCCTCTGGAGAGGAAGAGGAAAAGGAAACGTGGGATGGGGGAGCAGCTCTGCAAGGTCAGCGGAAAGCTCAACCACAGGCACAGCTCTGCTCATCATGGGCTGGGGCAGCTCAGGCTCCCCTGCTTCACACAGCCACCAGAACCCAGCAGAATCCACCAGAACCTACCAGAATCCACCAGAACCCACCAGAACCCACCAGAACCCAGGTTCTCTCACACAGCCACCAGAACCCAGCAGAATCCACCAGAACCTACCAGAATCCACCAGAATCCAGGTTCTCGGGAAGAGAGCAGGGTCCCCACAGCTTCCAGCCTGAGCCATTCCCACATCTTCCACACAGTGAGCAGATTTAGCTGAAAAGGTGCAATTCCAAGAGGCAGGAGTAGAATCAGAGTCCCAGAGTGGTTTGGGTTGGGAGGGACCTTAAAGCCCATCCACTTCCAACCCCAACACCTTCCACTGTCCCCGGCTGCTCCAAGCCCTGCCCAGCCTGGCCCTGGACACTTCCAGGGATCCAGGGGCAGCCCCCAGGGACGCTGGAGCCTTACAGGGGCAGCAGCTTCCCCCAGCACCCCCAAAGCAGAGACTTTCCTCCCCAAAACCGCCTTTCCCACAGTCACATCTCCAGCGTTAATTAGCGATCATTGATTAGTGATCAGCCTGATTGGCAGCAAACGAAGCAGGGAACCTGGAGGGGCTCTGGAGAGGCAGCTCCTGCTGGCTGCCTGCTAATGAAGTGCCCTTCAATTAAAGCAGCCAGGATTAGAGGCCTGGATCTCTTCCAGGCTGGAAGCAGGGGCTCTGCCTCGTGATCCGTGCCACAGAGCCGAGGCTGAGCTACAGAAGTGGGAAGTGAGGACTCCCCAGGTCCTGTCCCAGCTCCCCAACCCTCCTTCCACTGTCACCTTCCCCAGATTCCTGCCTGGACACAAATCCAGAGCCTGCAGAGAGGCACTGCTGCCTCCACAGGGGCTGTTCCAGGGGCAGCGTGGTTGAAAGAAGGAATTCAGTCACCTGCAACACAACAAATCTCCATTTTTATTGAGTCAGTAAGGTCTCAGCTGAGCCTGATTTCAGTGAGCCATAGAAACCCTCCTCTCTCCCAGCCAGAGCAGCCTGTCCTGGGAAAAGTCCTGGATGCATCCAAGGAATCCACAGCATCCCTCAATCCTCCTGCCACAAACCTTCCATCAGCTCACCCCAAACCCATCAGCCTCCTGCAAACCTCCACCCAGCAGGGCTTGGGTGGGAATGGGAGGACAAACACCACGCAGAAGCCTGGAAAAAGCAACACAGCTGGAATAGAAGCAATACAATTTTAATTCTGACCAGTCACCTCCAAACCCCTCGTCTTTCCACTGTTCTGATGGCATCGTTTAAATATCTGTGACATTGCTGGGGGGTGGGGGGGGGAGAAAAAAAAATGACACAAAGATACAGACATTATGATACAATAGTACAAATGATAAATTATTTATACAGTAAATAATGGCAATAGTCAGCACAAATCCAGAAAAAGCAGCTGGCTCCCGGGGTTATGAGCAGTTTGGGAAATATTGGAACACTTGGAGAGGAAGAGTTGTGTGAGATTCTGCTGGGAAAAGGAAATCTCTTTCTCCCCACCTGTGCAATATTCAGGCACAGAGCACACCTCGAGCTGGAACAGCAAAAGGGCACAAGGGGAACAAGAGCTGGCTAAGGGACTTCCCAAAAACTGCAAACACCACAACCCACCAGGGCTTCCCTTCCCTGCCCCTCCAGAGCTGGGTTTCTCTACAGCATAAAACTGAATAAATAACTGAGCTTATTTAGGGGAAAATTATGCCAAGGAGTGTGTGTGTGTTAACTTTTTTTTTAATAAGATATTTAACACTTTTCTCTTTGGTCAATTTGACCAATAAGGCTATTTTGGGATACTAACATTTTAAAAATCAAAAAAGAAAAAAAAAAAAACACTTTGAATATTTGCAAAGTGAGAAAAAGAAGGAGAAGAGGGGAAAATGGAGAAATGGGGCAGAGAGGATGTGATAGGGCACACAAATATCCTCCAGAAATGTGGGAGGGCCAGGAGGGAGGGAAGATTATCCTGGAGAGCAGGAAAATCATCACAAAATGAGCTGGACCACTCATAGCATCCCCTACCAGGACAGTGACCTCCCCTGTGTCACCCCCTGGGGACACAGCCCAGCCCAGGAACATTTACCAAACCAGCTCTTTCTCCTCCTAAACTCAGCTCCTGCCACAAGCCCTGTGCCAGCCTGGGATCTGAGCTTGGTTAGTCTCAGCCTAAATATTTCCAGCACCAGAATTTGGGCTGTGGCTCCTCAGGGAGCCTCCTTGGGGTTTGTTGTGCCATAAATGTCTTTATTTCATATAAAAGGGATAAAGTTCTGGGGGCAGTGACTTGGGAGGAAAAGCAAGGATTTGCCATTCAACAGCTTCATTAAGCCAGGGCTCCCTCCCAGAGCAAATTTACAGTGACAGCTCCAACTGCAGATTATTTCAGCACTTTAAATATTTCTTATCGACCTCATCTTGCCTCTAAAAAGTTCCCCAGGACGTGGCCAGGACTCTTGGCTGGACAGACAATGCCCCATCCCACTGCAGCTCAGGGGACAAAGGGACAAACCCCGAGTGACCTTAATTCCAGAGCTGGTCAAATCCAACTGGGAAAACAACCCAGGAGGAATCTTGTCACAGATCAGCTGGAAAAAAGCACTTTCCCCCCATCTGCAAGAATCACACCCTTCCTGCTCTACACTTCTCAATAGCTTCAACAACAACAGAAAAAAATCCTTTTTCTTTGCTCTGAAAGGCAACATGAATGGGGTTTTGTTTTGTTTTTGAAGACAGCCTGGGTGTGGACAGCAATCCTATTCCCTCCTCTATAAAAACAAGGATTGGGAATGCTCCTTGCCAGTTCCAGAGGATCCCAGAGGATCCCAGATCTGCACAGGAACTCCACAAACTGAGCATTCCACTCACTACCAGAGCTACCCTGGCCTGCACAGCTCCAGTCTGGGGCTGTGTCCCTAAATCTGATCATCCTTCAGCCTCCCCTTCCCACCAGGAGATGGATCCCAGTCCTCCCATGGGATCCAGCCCCTCCATGGGATCCAGCCCCACAGGGAATTGTTCCACCTCAACACAACTCCGGTAAATTCTGTTTTTTCCCCCCTCTTAAGGAAAGGCCATCAGCCTCCCCTTCCCACCAGGAGATGGATCCCAGTCCTCCCATGGGATCCAGCCCCTCTCCAGCCCCACAGGGAATTGTTCCACCTCAACACAACTCTGGTAAATTCTGTTTTTTCCCCCCCTCTTAAATTAAGGAAAGGCCACCAAGTCCGTTCAGAGGTGCCCTGCAGGCAGGAAAATTCCTTTTTCCATGGATTTTTGGGAGAGGCTGGAGCTCCAGCAGAACCCCTGAGCGTGGTGAGGAGTCCAGACATGAAAATTCATTTAAAAGGGATAATTCAGCTCCCAAGGGATGGCTGGCCATGGAAGCAGACATCCAACGGAGTGCACCTTCCAGCAGGAAAAATCAGTGCATAAAATCAAACAAATTCTCTTTGTACATCAGGATTTTTAACAGCTCCACAAGTTTTACAAGGAAAATAAAACCAAACAGCCTCTCTTGGGATCTTCATCAAGGCTAAAAGTCTGTCCAGTCTGGGGACTGGGAAATGGGAACAAATCAAGGGAAAGGCGACTTTAGTGTTTTTTCTTTTTAATGTAGTCTTAAATCATGTTATGCTCAAATTCAATTAATCTAAAAATAATTAGTCACGAGGATTTGTTTTTGATTTGCATTATGAATACTTCATTTAAAAGTAAATATTTTAGTGTTAATCTTCCCTTTTAAACTCTCTTTACAGAAACAAAGAGCGAAAACCATAAATAAGAGGGCATTAAAACCATAAAAATGACATTTGCCAATATCTTAATTTTTCAGCCAGACTTGATAAATCTATCAAAACCAGACAGTTAAATAAGAACCACATTATAAAAATTAGCAAAAAAAGGACTATTAGGTAACTCTGCAAACTCAAAATATGAAACTGTACTAAACAAAATATGTGCAAAAGTATACAAGAGTAACTGCATATAGCAAGGTTAAGCCTGAATTAGTTTTAAAGCTTGCCCCGGTGAAACTGAATTCAAAGTTGTCCCACTGTATCTTCCTTTTTTTTTTTTTTTTTTTGCTTTTCTTTGTTTTTTCCATTTTTTTTTTCTTTCAACTCACATTGTAAGTCAAATAAAAACAAAATACACATGAAAAAACTTCCAAACGAAGCTGGTACTGGACAAGCACAGAGCAGGACACTCACTCAGCACGAGTGCAGCCACTCACAGAGAGTTCCAGGAGTCCTTAGAGTAGTGTAGGAATTCAACACTGCACACGACAGCACAACTCGAGCATGGTCTTGGGTGTTTTGTCTGGGGTTTTGTGTTATTTTCCTTTGCTGTTGTCAGTCACACCTCAGAGATACCAAAGCAGTGCGAGTTTGCAATGTTTAATGCATAAAAACCAAGCCCCCCTGGGCCCTCCGGGTCGGTCTCTTCTAAGAGTAAGGACTATGGGTGAACCAACAGTCTAGAACTGTGTGTAGTTATGTGCAAAACATTCACTAGCACTCGGAATCTCAGGTCTATCTTACGGGCAGAGGAAGTGACAGATGCAGGGCAAGAGTAACTTCAGAAATCCAGCACATGATCTGACATCTACAAAATAGCCAAGGGAGTTTTCCAGTGGCAGGTTCTCTCCCTAGAAAGTGTGTTTGAAATGATTAACAAAGTAACAAAAATGGGCAGAATCTAACTTTGGTGAAAAGTCTGAACATTTCACATGATGCTCAACAAGCCAAAGTAAGGTACCATCTGTAGCAAAGACTAGATTTAGATTAACTGGTAAGTAGAGACAACTCTTCAAAGATCATAACTGTAAACTGCAAATCTACTTCCAAGTCTCTCACACACCGTTCAGTCCACACAGGCCACGTGCGTTTCGCTGGAAAGACTTCAGCCTGGAAACACTAAGAAAAGAAAAGTTCCTTTAATTGGGTCTTTATAGGAGGAAAGGGTTAGTTGTATTTGCAGCCTGGGAGGCTGCTGGCGGCATTGCTGTACTGTGCAGAGCTTGGGGCATTGATCCTGCAATGCTCAGCCCCTGGCCCATCCTGATGGTGCCCATGGCCGGCAGCGGTGCCATCCCCACGGGCACGGGGGCCATGGAAGACAGAGGTATTGGCTCCATGCTCATCGGGGGCACGGCGCTGAAGGAGGGGCTGCTGCCCATCACGGGACTGGCTCTCATCTGGTTCAGGGTCAGAGGCTGAGGCTGGTTCACCTGGAAGGGGTTGATTGGAGTCGCTGCCGTAGCGGCGCCTGCGGGGCAGAGAAGGGACAGTGAGGCACTGCCATCAGCACCGGGGCTGCAGTCATCTGTCCTGGCAAAGAGCATTCCCTGGGTGCATCCCCATGCCCAAAACACCCCCTGGAGCATCTGATCCCCAGCAGAGCACAGGGTGTTCCCTGGAAGCAGCCAGTGCCTCCAGCACCCCTTTGCTGACCAACAGCTCCCACCTCCGACAGCCCTGACTGGAGTCACAGGCTCCAAATCTGGTTCCCTGCAAAAGCCCTAACCACGACATCCACATCACTGATTTCATGTTTTATATGCTGCTTTGCAGGCCCTCTGTGCTCCTTTACTGCAGAGAGTGAATTTACATCAGATATGGGGAAGAAATCCTTCCCTGGGAGGTGGGCAGCCCTGGCACAGATTCCCAGAGATCCCTGGATCCCTGCAAGTGTCCAAGGCCAGGCTGGGCAGGGCTTGGAACAACCTGGAATAGTGGGAAGTGTCCCTGCCATGGCAGGGATGGTTTTTAAGGTCCCTTCCAAACCATCCTGAGACTCTGTGATTTGTGTGCTTGCTCCAAGCTCCCAGCAGCCACCTCCATTTTCGTGTTCCTGGCACCGAGCTCGGACAAGAATTCCCAAAGTAAACAACTTGTTTCCGAATTACAGCGGTGCTCGAAAAAGCAGAGCACAACTTTCCCAGCCTCTGAGGTTCCCTGGATTGCTGCCAGCCCTGCAAATTCCTTTTAGTGTACAAGCTCAGGATTATTTGGATGGCCCAGTGACCCCTCACAAACTTTTTGTAGTACCCGGGAAGGGCAGATACACAGATTTCCTCTCTCTCCCTGCTCACTGCCAAGGCTGCTCAGAATCACTCACTGCTTTTTCCTACTCAGGGATTTTAATAAATTGACTTTTTCTTCCATTGGAAGAGTGATGAAAATAAATACTGAAAGAGCATTTCCAAGTTTCACCCTAAGAACAACACAGGAAAGCATCAGTGCAAACTCAGCTTTTAAAAAATACATTTAACATTTGGTGTCACCGTTTCAGTCTGCTCCAAGCAAGGGCTCATTTCTAACATGCCTAGCTTGCAGGAGAACTGCAACAGCCAATTTTTTTTTTTCCAAAATACACTGAGAATGTGTTTTCAGACCAAAACTGGCTCTCTGTGGCAGCCTCAGACAGACTAACCAGCAGCTCACTGAATTACCCTGCAGAGTTTGCTCTCTGGGACCTCAGGCTGCAGTCAGAGATCTCCTGTGCCTGCTGCAGCTCCAGGAAAATGGCAACTCCAACCTTCTTCCCCAGGAAACTCTTATCTGTTATACCTTCCCAAGGCAATCTTACCTGTTTTGACAAAATCCAGCTGAATTCAGCCATTTTTAACAGCCCCAAACCTTCTAACACAGATAATTCTGAGTGAGGGGAACTGCTGGAGTGAAGTTCAGCTGCAGACCAAGAGCAGAGACTTCGTGTTTTCAGGGACTGTCACTGTGCTGGGTGAGCCCAGGATGCCTCCCTGAGTCCCTCCTGCTCTTGCTCGTGATCTGTTGGCTGAAGTAACCAACAAAACCAAGCCCAAATCACCCATTTTAACCCCACCAGCACCGAACTGTGCAGAGTTTCCCTGCAGGAAGGGAAAGCTCAAAGAGAAACGTGAAGGACTGTGCAGAAACCAACCTGGTGCCAAGAATGGGTTCAGAGAAGTAACAGGTTGTGGTGGCTTGGACACCAGAGAATCCAGGTTCACCAGGGCAGCGTTGGGGCCCAGGAAGGACTCCGGGGTTTTCCGGGCCGTGCTCTGTTTGCCTGATGTCCCACTCGAGTGCTGGGACTCAAAGAGATCAGGACTCGTGGTACCACTGTGCTGAGAGGGCAGAGTGGAACCTGATTCAGCTGCAACAACACAAAGGGACAAACAGAACTCCTGGTTAATGCCACAGGCAGGCAGAGAGAAGCCTGAGGGGTTTGAGAGCAGAGATGCTTTATGCTAAGTTTGTGTTAGTCAAGGCTCAGTGCTTCAGGCTGTTACACCCTCTCAGCATGCAAGCAGGTCAATGTCCTTTAGCAGAGCATGAAGAAGCTACAGTCAGAGTTGCAGTGCTCTACTGATGGAATTCCCACAGCTTTGCTGCTCCAGGTGGGACTCACAGGCTCCAAGGAACAGAAACTCCAAAGCCTGGCTCGTGCCCTGGCCCTAAACCACTGCTGTCCCTTCCTAGCTGGATTCCACCCAGGGTTGTCTCCTCAAAAAGCCCAGCTGTGCTTCAGGCAGAACCATCCTGAGAGCACTGGCAGGGTCTGGCACTTTTGATTTACTGACCATTGACCACAGAAAAAAATAAATTAGAGTATTCACAGAAGGTATTTTCTCATCTTCCTACTGGAATTTACACATTTGAGAGATTCAGTCAGCATGGTTCTGGTTGAGTCTCTGAGCACAAGCCCTGCTCCAAACATGCTGGACACTGGAAATTAGGAAGTCCAACAAATTTCTGGGTCAGTGCAGCAAAAGGTCACACGGTGCAATTCCATGGATTACAAAAGGCCCATTCCCCACGAGTTCATGCACAGGCCTAAATGGGAACAAGGAGCTTTTACTGCTGCATCATCACTTTGTGAAAACTCATTTTCTTGTTCAATAAAATTTAAGAACAGAGACGTTTGTTGCCGTGACTCTCACCCAACCTGTCCACATGCTAAGAACTTGATTCGTACCTGGCTTTTTGGAAGTTCGAAGTGTGTCAAATTCAGAAAAATCATCTTTAACTGTACCATTCAAATTACTGAAGAGGTCAAAAGATGTACTTCCTGTTCAAAACAACAAGACAGCCCTGTCATTAACACATCTTCGGTTGCATCACACAGCTGATCCTCCTGGAAGCAATTCCTGACCCATTCCTGTTCCCAGGAAGCCACCACAGGTTGCAGGGCAGCAGCTGGGAGTGCTCCTACTCTGAGCTGGGAGAAGGAGAATGTCACAGAACTGTCCTTTCTGACAGCATGGAACAACTAAATCAGTTTGCTTTTGGATCAGTGCAGGGCACACCTGAGCACGCTGGGGTTTGGTTGATTGAGTGTCTGCATTAGAGACAAGCAGATCTTGCTGTGGAAGGAGAGAACAGAAATGGATTTACAGCCTCTACTATCAAGTGTTAATCAGCCCTCAAGGAAAACACCACCAGTGATGATTTCATTTCTGCTTCCCAAGTGGAAAGGAGGAGGAATGCCAGAGCAGAGGTTGTGGAGATGGCAAAGGCCCGTTAGCTGAAGCACCAGCACTCACCCAGAGCTTGCAATCAATGAAACATCACCATTTCCAAATGTGGACACACTCTTACCTCAGATTGGAGGCACAAAAACAACACCTAAGTGATCAGCAATCACACTCCTGAACAGCTTTAATTAGCTGAAATGTTTTCTTAGTTTACCTTAGCCACCTTCAGGACATTTCAAGCAAGAAGAGCACAAGATGACAAACCCCAAGAGAAGGTGAAAATTGAATATAAAAACAGTATTTATCAAGAACAAAGAGCCACCATAGCTCAAGGCTCATTTCACAATGCTCCAGTTATTGCCCTTTGCCCAGGAAAAGCTGCTGAGGGAAGTTTTTGCAGCACTCAGATTCCTTGGTCTGTTGTGCACAGGGATGAATGACAAACAGAAAATGCATTTTGGATGCTTTCAGCCACGGTGCCAATATGAAAATGCCAGGTATTAAACTCATCAAGGTTGTATTAGCTACAGAGCATGAAAAGACAATTACAGCAGCACCTTCTGCATCTCTACCAGGGCTCAGGGAGGGTTTCACACCCTCAGTCTGAAGGAACAAATCTTCATTTGCACCTCTAAAAGTCTCCTCCGAGTGCTCAACCTGTCAATCTACATCTGCAGAGGCATCCATCTGCAGAGCTATTTATCACGAGGAAAGGTGAAATCAGAGTATCATTCATTGCCAGAAATTAAGTCCTTGTCTAATTAAAGATAAAACCCAAGAGCAGCAGCAGTCCCAAGTGCTCAGCAGGCAGCCACAAATACCAGGAGGAGACATAGAAGGGACAGAGCACAAAGCAGCACCTCGAAATCAGAGCTGTAAGTCTGAATAATTACATTTCAACTTCTTCTTCCTGCTGGTTATTACAGGTCCCTTTTATTTTGAAGACAAATTCTGCCAATTGTCCAGCTTCTTTGAACCACACAATGCAAGAAAACCATTTGGACTTCTCCTCATTACTCAAATAAGATGGATATGGGATGAGAATATTGCTCACCAGAAGTAGAGAGAGGTTTGTTTGCAGGTGCTGATCCCCAAGGATCAGAAGATTTTGCTGCAGTAGAAGATGGTTGAGCAGGAGCCCAAGGGTCCACATTTTTGGCCAGAGGCTGAGCTGTGGATCCTGCTGGTGCTGCCCAAGGGTCAACAGAAGCAGCTGGTTTGGCACCTGCAAGAAGAATCAGCAGGAAGAGAAGTCAGTGCAGCTTCCCCCTGGAAAGCTTTCCCTGGAGACTGACCCCTCCCAGGAGCCTTTCCTCCCAATTAACACTGAGCATTAATGGGAGCAGCAGCTCAGCACCAGCCACTCCCAGCATTTGTCACACTCTGACCAACAACAGCACCAGGAAATTCTGGGCAAGGCAGAGGAATAAACAATTCCCCTCTTTGAACCTGAATACAAATACCTGCAGCTCCAACAAGAAAATAAACTTGCCTTTGTTGCTGACATTGCCACCACAAGTGACAGTCCCTGGCTGGAGGTGACCTAAATCACAGGGTCTATTTATGAACTCAGGGCAAAGTGAGTTTATAAAAAGCCCAAAGGTAAAAGGTGTGAGACACACAACATTAACCCTTGGACAAAGGAGTCTGTAAGATTCAGAGGGAATGTTGGAAACTTCATTTCCAACTCTTTTAACCACACTGCTATTTTATAAAAATATAATCAGCTCCCCTGAGCCAGCTGTGCTTTTTTAGTCCCATTTCTAAGCACTCCTGACACACATCTAAGCTGCCCACTGATACCCCTTTATTATTTTTAACCCAATGCCTCTATGTTCAGGGTTCTCATTTTTCCTGGAAGATGCTGACAACTCTTCATTCCTACAAATTCAATCACCAAAGGTTTAATTCCCAAATGAGGATTTTATAACCCAAGAGAGCAGGACAGAATCACCCACATGCAACAACTCCTACCTTCAATATCCTGTAGGTTTCAAATTACAACTGAAAATTATTTTAGCTTTTAAAACTCCATTCAACTCCCTTGGCATCCTAATATTCCTGTAAATCAGGAATGCTGCACACAGTGGCACAAATTCCAGCTGGAATTTTGGGTTTTGTTTCATCAGCAGCCACTTGGTCGCTACAGCTCCGGAGCAGGAAATGCCAAAACTCTCCAAGGAAGCCCCATTATTCCCACACCAGTACTCCCATTTCCTTTACCTGCCCCCAGTGCTGAGTTAGGAGCAGTGCCACACTAATGACAGCATTTCCCATCACCAGCAGCTTCCCAAAATGTCCTTCCTTCCCTAAAAGGAGCACTCAAAATGAGAAAATTCAGGAAAATCCCTTCCCATTGTTTCCATCAGCTCCACTGGAACACAACAGCACTGGCAGGATTTGGGAAATGCAGATTCATGAGTCATTTTTTTACCAGTAAATTCATAAACTTGCATCTTTGAGACTGTTCCTGGGAGAATCCAGCAGGCTGGAAGCAGGGATTGTGCTGTGGTGAAAGAAAACTGGGAAGCACTGAGGAGATGCTACAGCTGGAACTGGTACAAGGAGAATCCTGTCAGAGGGTGACACATCAGGCTGGAGATTTGAGGAAAGTGGATTTTGGTTGCTTTTAGACATGGAAAAAGAAACTGAATGGCCTTGGGGCCCAAAATTTGGGCTTTTTCTCAGTTTCTATCATCAAAAAAAAGCGGGTGACACTTGGAATGATGACCTGGCAGTTGGCCCAGGAGCTTTGTAGGTGCCTTTAATGCCATCATGAGCAGGAGAAAAATCCCCAAACATGACATTTCATCATTTAACTTCCAATTTTTCATCAGGAATCTGATGGTGGTGTGTGGATTGCAAAGGCCTTTGAAGCATTTTAGAGCAGAGGTTGTAGAATCACCAGCCCAAAGCAGAACTGACAGAACAAAGCTGTCAATCTTCATGGAAAAGCTTCATCAAGATTTGCACAGAAACTCCCTGCCCTTTAAAAAGCTAAAAAATTCCAACCAAAAAAATAGATCCAGCTCTTGTTCCAAGTGTAACTCTGTGAGAAACCATCCACTTTCTTATCAAAGGAATAACTCCTTGGACAGGCTGTGGCTGACCCAGACACCAGCCCACCACGCAGGCAGCAATACACACGCACAAAAAAAAACACACAAAAATTTGGCTTAGCTGCTCTTTAAAATGTGAAACACTGCACCTTTCCCTTCAGAAATATTCCATGGATTTAGCATTGAAATCCTATGGAACACTAAGTATTTTAAATGGCAACCTGAGGTTTTTTGTCTGCTATAAAAATCTTCATTTAAGTCATTTAATCTGACCATACACAAATGCATTACAATTCTCTAGGAGCAATTAAGGACATGATAATTCACACTGATGGCCTTCCTAAGCTCAGCACCTTGCCTAAATATCAGATTAAATTCTGGGAATAATCTAAACCCATGGCACTGGACACAACCAGCAGGGAGACATGAGTTAGACAAGTTGGTTTTGCTGTAAAGACAACAGCAGTGCCACTCTCCCCTTCCTCAGGATTCAAACTGCACACACAGAAACCCAACTGCTTTAAAAAATGCAACTGGCATTGGTGTCTGCTTGGAAATGAGGAATTTAGTGAAATGAATGAAAACGCACTCATACACGAGTACAACATTGAGGAACACTGAAATGCTCAAGGTCAAAAAGCAAAACCTTTGAAATCCCAGTGCTCCTGGCAGCTTGCTCTTACCAAATGATTGCCAGGGGTCAGAGGCAGGGGCTGCAGCCGTGGATCCTCCCCAGGGATCCGTTTGGTTGGCAGCAGCAGCAGGAGGTCCCCAGGGCTCGCTTTTGGGCTGGGCTGGTGCCGAGGAGGGCAGGGCATCCATCAGGTCCAACAGGGTGGTGTGCTGAGGGCAGGAAGAAACTGAGCTTTACTCAAGAGCCTTGCCAGGCTGAAGTACAAACCCGTGAGAGTGAAGAAGCAATTATTATTATTATTATTATTATTATTATTATTATAATTTTTCCTTTTACACGCCTGCATTGACTAGTTCCAAATTTAACCCACATGGAAGAAGCTTTAAGCTACACGACAAAAGCAAACCCAAAAGCATAAAAGAGCTCAGTATTAAGCTAAGTTTGTGTTACTGTATTTCAGCTTTTGGCAGCATAACCGGGAATTTCTTAGGCGAAGGCACTACCTCCTTCTTTTTGGGAATTTTAATTGTGTCTCTGCGACTCTCCTCCAGAGCCATCTGTAATCTCAGATCGTCTCCGCGTCTGAGGCGCTCCTCCTGCAAAGGAAACCAACACTGGTGATACAGACCACGAGCCTGCTCGGGGCTGCTGCTCCCTGCAGGGCTCCACAGGGCTGCAATTCCCACTCAGCACAAACGAGCCAAAGGAGTTTTCCTGGGATTCTTGCCTCAGGAGCACCCCGACCCTGCTGTGGGCACAAGAGCCGGCTTGCTGGTTGGGTTTATTATTTCCAAAATTCAGTTAGAAACACCAAGGAACTTCGAGTGAACGAGCCATTTTTAAACTGGCACAATGGTTTTTCAGCATTCAGATCACCACTGAGGGTTGTAGGGAACTAAACTGAATTTTCCCTTGCTTTTGTTCACTTCCCTCCACGCTGGTGCAAGATCCACCAAGGGAATCAAGTCTTACCAACTCCAGGTGTAATGTGAGGGTTTAAACATCTGTAACTACAATATTTATGCCACATCAACTCCTTTAAACATCTGTTTGCATCATGTCTCTCAGAAGTTGACTAATCCCCCAGCTTGTCATTTCTGAAGCTACTTCAAATGCTTAGATTCTGATTTATGTTTTAGTTCCCCTTATTGCTCAATAATGAGCAAGTTTACTGGGTGACAGTTTCCCCTTCCAAGCACTCATGCTCAACACAGAGCTGTAAACTAAATTGTTACAGGAATCTCTAAAATATTGCAGGCACTCAGCATGGCTGACTTAATTTTCACTCAGAGCTGAGATCTGACTTTGTTATGTATTAAAATGCAGTCGTTTTATCCAAATTTACTCCAAATTCAGAATGAAGCTCCTAAGAATTAGCACAGTAGCATAACCCAGGTGATAGATCAGGAGTCAATTTCTTGAAACCTTTTTTTAATATGTTCTGGTACTTTGTGTCAGGTCACCCTCCTGTTCCAGAAACTCCCACCAAATGAACAGACTGTTCCAAATTCCACTGGAATCACAATTCACTGACATTAATGAAGATTTCAGCAGCAGTCATGCTTTCAGCTCTTCCTAACTGAAAACATCTTCAGTAATGTGATGATTAACATCCTCCCACACAAAGTCTTCTCTCAAAGTGACTGTCATCTTCCACTAGTCTCAACAGCTCGGAGGCTGAAGTTACTTTAAAAAGAGATTTAAAGAATAATAATAATAATAAAAAAAAAAAACCCACACACAAGATTCTACCTGGAGCAAAGCCAAGCTGCCATAAGTGAGCAAAGGGCAGGGCCCGGCGGCAGGTCCCGCACCCCTGGTGTGGTGGGCACCAGTTTAGTTGTTGTCTTGCACTGGGTGGTTGGGAATTGGCACAGGAGAGGTTTGTGTTGCACTGTGTAGGTTGTGTTACATCATGGGGGTTGTTATGCCTTGCTCCCATCACAGGGTCTGTCAGGTACCCCTGGTGGTCTCCCCCTCCCCTGGCCACTCCTCCCTGGTGTCCCACTGGCTGTGGAGCTCTCCCTCTGTCCCCATCCCGGGGTATAAAAGCTCCCTGCCGCCAGGGAACGCTCTCTTTTCTCCCGTGGGTTTGTCCTCCTGATGTGTGTCTTGGAATAAAGGACAACGTTTCCCACGTGGAGGAGAGCGCTTCCCAATCTTTTACTTGTGGGCAAGGAATGGACCCCAACAGCCCAGGAAACACGATTCTTCACACCCCGTGTTTGCTTTCAGAGCTGCCTCAGGGTGAAGAGGGGAAGCTTCTGCCAAGGGTGAGCATTCAGCTCTGCATGGCAGCTCAGCTGCTTTAAGGGATAAATATTCCTGGAAAATCCAAGGGTTTTTGTAGGGCTGTGATATCAAGAAGTACCCCCAGCTCATGCTGGAGTGTATCAGAGCTCCTGACTTAAGAATTCATTGTTGAATGAAACATTTGTGAGTATTTCTTCCATCTTCCAGTGTCAGTAAGGATCTGCTGGGAGTGGGCCAATATCAGGGTAAAACTGGATACCACCCACTTTTCTGTAAAATAATACAGTCTTAATGGGAAGATAAAGAACTATTCTTAACTGCTGAGCAGGCCTGGAGATAAACAAACCAGCTATTCAGACTTCAAATTTACACAAATCCAGGATCATTCTCTGTTAAAGAAGAGTTTGGCTAATTGGTTGGTTTCTGGGGTTGGTGGGGGTTTTTTTTGGGGGGTATCTCCTCCCCTCCTCTTCAACCTTGACAGCTAAAATATGCAATTTCTCAACACAAACCATCTTTTAGTGATGTTTTCACTCCAGGAGCATGTGAAATTCCCATCCTACACCACTAGCAGGTTTAGCACTGTACAGTAATTAAACAATTTTGTGTTCACTCTCTCTCAGACAATTCTTTAGCATCCAAATCGTTCACACTGAAATTTTACCTCACTTTGGCAAGGAAGTTTGTATTTAGTGGCTGGAATGATGATTCGTTTGGCAAAATAAATATTGACATTTAATACATTTAATTGAATGTTTCAAACTAGGGTGTCAAGCTCAAAGAAATCAAGTTTCTTCCTACCAGGTCAGCTGGGCATGTGAAAATGAGACTGCCAAATTGGGTTTGAAAACCACTTTTTCATCACTGCTTTAATCCACCAAACATTTCCCAGTCTTGTCTGCCTCTCCTGAAGTTTCAGGCCAAAATGACATCACAAAACAAGTGGAACTAAACAAGGAATGACCTTTCCTCCTTCCCACCATACCCCGAGGTGCCCTCCCACCCCATCTCCTTCTAAAGACATAAATTAATTTATCACCCACAACTATTCTTCCACCTTGTGCTGATCCTGAAGCTCTCAAGCCAACCTCACTTCAATTAAGATGCTACTCATAGCTCAATTCTATTACTCTTCCACACTTTCTCATATAAAATAATTAAATTTAGCTTGGTTGATGAGTACTTACTGCTCCAACAGTCACTGCCAGGCTCTGCAATATATTATATTAAAATATGATGATGAAAGCACGTGATAATTCCCAGCCACTCACCTAATACAGGTGATAAATTAGCACTAATTCTTATCATTCTAATCCAAAATAGATTATTTTAAACCAGGATGGAGGTGGAAACACTTTCCTTTGGAGTCCAGAGAATGTTTCCTATTTATCTTTGCCAGAAGAAGATGGAGCAGTTTATGGCTGTTAAATACCTCAGGCTTGCAAACACCAGAGAGAGAAACATTATTTTAGATAAAGGGGCAAGAATTCATGGTACAAACTGGCCATGAACAGATCTGAGATGCAGATGGAGAAGAGCAGTTTTGCAGCAGGGATTAGAGAAGGGAAGAGTCCTAACTGGTTTAAAAACAGAGCCTGGACACATGGGACACCAGCAGAGTCACCTGAGAACAGATGGCACCTGGACCAGGAGCAGGGAGGAACCTTCTGCTCTGCTGGGCTTTGAACTGTGGGGGGCAAATGGCATTTCCTGCATCCCAGCTTTTCCATCTCTGCTCACATCACTGCATTCCACAACCACCAAGAGCCTGATGGCACAGTGACATTAAAATTAAAATGATGCAAAATGGGTTCGATTCCATTGCTCTTCCTCCCATTTCCACACAAAGGACTTGCTGAACTCACTGCCCAGTGCATTCCTGCCTGGAAAAGATGGAAAAAGCAGGGATTGCATCCCACTCCAAGCCTTTCCCTGGCTCTGCACTCCCAGCCAAGGCTGGCTTGGCTTTGGCAGGGAGCTCCAAGAGCTCCCAGAAATCCCAAGAGCAGCAGCTCTGGGATTCCCACACGGATACCACGGGCTCACACACACACAGGTTACTCCTTCTCACTTCTAGGCTTTCCAGCAATTCATTCTACTTGCTTTCATTAACTCTAAAAGGTATTTCCAGCTCCTTTTCACCTAAAATAAAAGGAGAAAATGTCCATTTGAAGTTCTTCTTTGGGCCTCAATAAAAAAAACAAACTATAGGAATGTTGCTGTTTTCCATGTAAGCCTCTGCAGTGTTATAAAACCATCAACATTAAAGAGCTGCCAGCATTTTTTTTTTTTTAAAGGATTAAGGGAAATTCAAAACATCACTCCTGGGAGTAACATGACAAGTTTTACCTAAGATTCCAGTCCATATGGGCCTCATCCTGCTGGGAGGTCAGAATTCCCAGGATCCAGCAGCAAGGTCACAGCCCTAGGAGTAGGATGGTGCCACACAAAGCATCCCTTATCCCCAGCACATGACAGCTAACTCAGATGTTTATGTAAGATGGGACTCAATAGATCAATTCTGACCTGCTAAGCCCTGCTTTGTTGGGAATTTGGGGATCCCAGTCCCTCCAGGAGCACATCTGTGGGATCTGTTCCTGCAGGGAGGATAGGGCTGGCTGCTCAAGGAAATCATCTGGAGGCTCAGTTAATCACTAAAGCAGGATTCTGCTGCACCATCTGTGCCTGGCCAGGCTGGGACAGCTCCCAGACACATCTATTGATAATTTCCTATATTTTGGCTCTATTAAAAGGCCTCTGTAGCTGGTTATAGATCTGGCTGAGTTAAAGTGAAATACAGGACACAGAGAGCAGAGCCTGCATTAATAATAAAAATCAGACTGTATTCTCATTCAGAATTCTGTACTTGGGGTTTGGGGCTGTTTTTGTTATTTCTGGGTTTTTTTCTTTAGTGTCAGGCCTTCTAATTTGCAGGTGGAATTCTGAAGACCAGAATTCAGTTCTCAGTCACATTTGCTCAGAATGTAAAGCTGCTTCCTCACTCACTCAGTGAACCTACAAAGGTGGGCAAAACCAAAAATTTCTTGAAAAACTGAAATAATACCAAGGTAAGGACTCAGAAACCAACAGCAATTCAGAGATCCCATCTGTCAGTCTGCCAGTGAACAACCACTCAAATAAAATGGGATAATTTTAAAAAGCCAAATGATGGAAAGGCAAGTGCAAGCTGTTTAATCTAGGAGGAACTGTGTAATCCACCCTTCCCTTGGGAACGAAGGAATCTTTCAGGTACAAGAAGAGAGTTGATAACACTGATGAATGTGACAAGGTGGAGCTGCTCTGCCCTCCTGCAGGATTCTGATTGCACTGAGCAGACTGAGAGCTGCTGACATTCATTTAACACTCAACAAATCCTTCAGGTTTGTTTTGCTGGGAGTATTTTCCTTTCAGGTGATCCCA